CTTTTCTTTGGAAAGAGTACACCCAAAGATATTGGGGGGGGGGGGGGGGGGGGGTTCATGGGACTGTCTTATTCAGCAAAGAGAGGCCAGATGGGATTTATCATATAGAAGCTACTAAACTCCCTGGTCTCAATTATGTAGTGAGCTGCAAACCTTTTTTTTATAGCTATATCAAACTAATTTAGCTGGTTGGCCTTTTTCTTTTTTGTTTTCATTTTTTCTATTCTTTTGTTTTGGTTTCATTTTTTTTGTTTTTTGTTTGCCTTTGCTTTTGTGGGATATTGGCAACCACTTAATAATTATTTTTGTGGTGATATACAGACATGGGATACCTATCTGTATTAAATATAGATGTATATGTAATTTGTTAAATTGTTATATATATACAGGTGAAACTCGAAAAATTAGAATATTGTGCAAAAATTCATTTATTTCAGTAATGTAAACTTAGAAGATGAAACTAATATAAGCCGTGATTTGATAGACTCCATTACATGCAAAGCAAGATAGTTTAAAGCCGTGATTTGTCATAATTGTGATGATTATGGCTTACAGCTCATGAAAACCCCAAATCCACAATCTCAGAAAATTAGAATATTACATGCAATCAATAAAACAAGGATTGTACATAGAACAATATCGGACCTCTGAAAATTATAAGCATGCATATGTATTCAGTACTTGGTTTGGGCCCCCTTTTGCAGTAATTACTGCCTCAATGCGGTGTGGCATGGAAGCTATCAGCCTGTGGCACTGCTGAAGTGTTATGGAAGACAAGGATACTTCAATAGTGGGCCTTCAGCCCTTCTGCATTGTCCTGTCTCATGTCTCTCATCTTTCTCTTGGCAATGCCCCATAGATTCTCTATGGGGCTCAGGTTAGGCGAGTTTGCTGGCCAATCAAGCACAGTAATCTCACGGTCATTGAACCAGGTTTTGGTGCTTTTGGCAGTGTGGGCAGGTGCCAAGTCCTGCTGGAAAATGAAGTCAGCATCCCCATAAAGCTTGTCTGCGGAAGGAAGCATGAAGTGCTCCAAAATCTCCTGGTAGACGGCTGCGTTGACCCTGAACTTAATGAAGCACAGTGGACCAACACCAGCAGATGACATGGCTCCCCAAATCAACACAGACTGTGGAAGCTTCACACTGGACTTCAAGCATCTTGCAGTGTGTACTTCTCCATTCTTCCTCCATACTCTGGGTCCTTGGTTTACAAATGAGATGCAAAAGTTGCTCTCATCAGAAAAGAGGATTTTGGACCACTGATCAACAGACCAGGTCTGTTTTTCTTTAGCCCAGGTAAGAAGCTTCTGACGTTGTTTGTTGTTCAGGAGCGGCTTGACAAGAGGAATACGACATTTGAAGCCTATGTCCAGGATCCATCTGTGTGTGGTGGCTCTTGATGCACTGACTCCAGCCTCAGTCCACTCTTTGTAAAAGTCCCCAACACTTTTGAATGTCCTTTTCCTGACAATTCTCTCCAGGCTGCGGTGATCCCTGCTGCTTGTGTGCACCTTTTTCTTCCACACTTTTTCCTTCCACATAACTTTCTATTAATGTGCTTTGATACAGCACTTTGGGAACATCCAACTTCTTTTGCAATTACCTTTTGAGGCTTTCCCTCCTTATGGAGGGTGTCAATGCTGGTTTTCTGCACAACTGCCAGGTCAGCAGTCTTTCCCATGATTATGATTCCTACTGAACCAGACTGAGAGACCATTTAAAGGCTCAGGAACCCTTTGCAGGTGTTATGGCTTAATTAGCTGATTAGAGTGGGCCTAGAATATTGCACCTTTTCACAAAATTCAAATTTTCTGAGATTGTGCATTTGGGGGTTTTATGAGCTGTAAGCCATAATCATCACAATTATGACAATTCATGGCTTGAACTATCTTGCTTTGCACGTAATGAGTCTATCTCATATATTAGTTTCACCTTTTAAGTTGCATTACTGAAATAAATGAACTTTTGCACGATATTCTAATTTTTTCGAGTTTCACCTGTGTATGTATGTATGTATGTATATATATATATATATATATATATATACACACACAGTGTGTGTATATATATATATATATATATATATATATATAGTATATCCACTGTATATGTCATCGTTTGTGGATGCTCTAATTTTTTATTTGTTGTTTTTTTTGTACCAAAGACATGTGGCAGAATACATTTTGTCCTAAATCTATGAAGAAATGTGATTTTTGATTTTTTTTTTTAATTGGATATGTTTCAGAACAGAAAGAAGAAAATTTCATGTCATATACAATATTTCACACATTTTCAGTTTTTTTTGTTTATGTAACTAAATATAAAAAAAACCATTCAATTACCACCAAAAGAAAGTTCTATTTGTGTGAAAAAAAGGATATACCTGGTAAATAATATAAATTTCATTGAGGCACAGTGTTGCTTGACTTAGCAATTGCCAGTTAAAGCAAAAAAAAATGCTCTGGTCATGAAGGGGATAAAACTGAAGTGGTTAAAGAGCAAAACATACAATGCAAGATATTGTTGTATGGCAGCTGCATTCTTCAGCAAGGCTGTAAGAAACAGATAGCCTTAGCATTTTTGTGTAATGAAAGTAAATACAAATAACCATGTTAAGTCAGTTAGGAGGGTAACATTGTTTTATAAAAAACACACCAGCTGTAAAAGTTCAGCACTACAGTACGGTACCTTGTTAAGACAAAACCCAGTTTTCTTCATTCTCCTACTATGAAGTAGTATGCTGACTATGGCCAGTCTCATCAATAATCCATCAAGCCACATTCAAACTTGTCAGAAGTCAGGTTTCAGAGCTGGGTGTCAGTCATATTTCAGATTTGTCAGAATTAGGTTTCAGAGTCAGATGTCAGAGAAATGTGCATTTACTTTTTTTTTTTTTTTTAGCATGGAAAGCATTGCACCAGTGATCAGCAGATCACTGGTGCCATGCATGACTGCTGCAAACCTGTCAGTATATCTATGTGCCTCTGCATCCTGTATGGACAAGCAGATACAGTCAGACAGGAAGTCTCAAAGAACTACCATTGTAGGCTGTCAAGTTTCTGTGAATAAACGACGCGGCCATATGGGCGGAGCCCCACAAGGTCGGACTGTTTTTAAACAGTGACAGCTGGTACAGGGAACTTCTCCCCATACTGCTGTCACAGAGAGTGTGAGGATTGGGGAGCGGCTACAGGATGGGGAACATGTTACATGTTCCACCCTAAAAACAAGTAGAACATGTAACATGTTCCCAAAGGTGAACTTATCCTTTAAAATATCCCTAAGGTATAACCTGTTCTCTGTATTTCCGAAGATCGCCATTTTATAATTTTATGATGCAATTATAGGTACAACTAAATACGCGCGGGAGATTCTAACATTATTGAGTGGTGCCCATATTTGTATCACATTGTGGCAACATGGAGGGCTGAGCTTGTACATTTAGAGTCATTTTGAATATTCCCAGTGGCTTTATTGATAAACTTAACAACATGATTATAATTACAATGAATAATAAACTTTTTTTACATCAGAAAATATAAGAGTACTTTTGAATATGAAATAAGTAGGAACAAAAGGGAGGAGGGAGGTGGGATGAAGGCAAGAGAGGTGGAGTTTAAAAAGTATCTAGCTACTTTGATTACTCAAAAAGACACCAGACTCAGACATCTGAATCTGGCTCATGACTCTGACACCTGATGCTGACTGAATTCTCAAGATCTCTGTCAAATATGAGGACAGCTCTTGTGATCCCTGAGACCCCACTGTTGCTTATTATCAGAGAGCTGTCAGAAGAAGTCTTCCGCTACTCACTTTGTTTTTGATGCTCTGCATTATACCATGTGATCTCTCACAACCACGGTCTATGTATTGTCAGGATTGCCATTTTGTTGTGCCAATTTGCCATTTTGTTGTGTTTATGTCTTAGGCTCAGCAAATGAATAATCTATGTGTGGATGCATATTTATTGGCCAGGTGCAGATACATACAGCATAATGTGATGCAATCTCATAGAAACTTTATAGACATACAGGCATAAATTGGCAATACATTGTGCTTCCATCTAGCTAAAAACCCCTATGGGTCTGTATTTGCTGGGACGAGGATAAGGCCTTGTGTACGTGGGCTTATGGAAAAAAGCAATTCTTCTGGCAAAATCTGGCAGAAAAAATGCTTCTAATGTTACAATATGTATGCACGTTTATGTGTATATGGCGTTTGAACGTAAATGCATTATACTGACCAGAATTTTAATTTATTCTGGCCATTGGAACACATTAACGCACATATGCATGCATTTATGCATGTTTAGTAAATGCACTTTTTTCTGTTCAAAGGTTCCTCTCAGAATGTGCCTTTGGTGAGTTTTTTCATTTTGATTTGCCTGTAAACACTCCTCTTCAAATACTCCTGCCTGGCCACATAGGCTAAAATAGAGGTGTTTTTACAAGCATAATGTTGTTTTTCTTTATGGGTTTAACAGTAGCTTGAAATCTAACCATTTTACCTCCCTCATGTTCAGGCCATTTCTTGCTGTTCATTACTGCACTACTTTAACTGGCAATTGGGCCGGTCATGCAAAACTGTACACAAACAAAATTTATTTACCGTATTTTTCGCTCCATAAGACGCACCTGACCATAAGACACACCTAGGTTTTAGAGGCAGAAAACAGGAAAAACAAATTCTGAACTAATGGACTGCAGACATAGTACAGGAGATGACCAGAGACTGCGCACATAGTACAGGAGATGACCAGAGACTGCGGACACAGTACAGGAGATGACCAGAGACTGCAGACAGAGTACAGGAGATGACCAGAGACTGCGGACACAGTACAGGAGATGACCAGTGACTGCGGACATAGTACAGGAGATGATCAGAGACTGCGGACATAGTACAGGAGATGACCAGTGACTGTGGACATAGTACAGGAGATGATCAGAGACTGCGGACATAGTACAGGAGATGACCAGTGACTGTGGACATAGTACAGGAGATGATCAGAGACTGCGGACATAGTACAGGAGATGACCAGAGACTGCGGACATAGTACAGGAGATGATCAGAGACTGCGGACATAGTACAGGAGATGACCAGAGACTGCGGACACAGTACAGGAGATGGCCAGAGACTGCGGACATAGTACAGGAGATGATCAGAGACTGTGGACATAGTACAGACGATGACCAGAGACTGCGGACATAGTACAGGAGATGACCAGAAACTGCGGACAGTACAGGGATGACCAGAGACTGCGGACATAGTACAGAGATGACCAGAGACTGCGGACATAGTACAGGAGATGACCTGAGACTGCAGACAGTACAGGAGATGACCATAGACTGCGGACATAGTACAGGAGATGACCAGAGACTGCGGACAGTACAGGGATGACCAGAGACTGCAGACAGTACAGGAGATGACCAGACACTGCGGACAGTACAGAGATGACTGCTGACCTTTGGGGAGGGGGGGGGAGCGGGTACCTGAATTTGACAGGTACCCGCTCTTACTTCCGCAGAGTTGTTCTTTGATCTTACCTGTTCCTCTATCCAGCCGCGCGCTGTCTACCCGGCTTCTGTAGTGTGGGCGCTCGGCGGACAGCCGGATGCCCAGTGCGCATGAGCAAGAAGCGCTGCGCTTTGTGATTGGTCCAGCTGCTTCTGGGATCTGTCATGTGTCCCAGGTACCCGCCTTACCATTCACAAAGAGCACCGCTTCTTGCGTATGCGCACTTGGCACCCAGCTGTCAGCACACTACAGAAGCCGGGAACAGCGCGCCGCTGGATAGAGGAACAGGTAAGGTCCCACTGCAGAGCTGAGCGGCCGGCCCGGTATTTTGACACGGCGGCGGTGGAAATACCGGACCGGCCGCTCCATATTCGCTCCATAAGACGCACTGACATTTCCCCCCCCTTTTTTTGGGGGAAAAAAGTGCGTATTATGGAGCGAAAAATACGGTAATTTTTTTTTCACACAAATTGAGCTTTCTTTTTTTATTATATAATAGAAAAAAGACTGAAAAACCAATTTGTGTGAAAGTTCTAGCGTATACAAACTATGGTATATTTACTGGAATTTAATTTTTTTTTTTATACTAGTAATGGCAGTGATCAGCGACTTATAGTGGGATTGTGATAGTGCGGCCGGCAATCTGACACTAACTGATGCTGACTGGGAACTGACTAACTGACATCACCAGTGACATCACCAGTGACACTAATACAGTGATCAGTGCTAATACTATAACACTGTCAGTGTACTAATGACACTAGGAAGGGGTAAAATCTAGGGGCAATCAAAGGGTTAACTGTTTGCCTAAGGCCCTTTTACATGGGGCAGACCCGTCAGCGGATCCGCTTGCTGCGGGGGATCTCTGAGCAAGTGGGGTGACAGGTCTGTGTCCACTCTGTGCTGCAGAGTGGACCCAGACACAGCTACCCTCTATGGGCGGCCATATGAAAACAGACTGCCTGTCCATTTCCATCGGACTGCCATCCCATCCCATCTAACAGTTTGAGGGGAATGGATCCCCATCTGTCCCTTTTTGGTGGATCAAATCGGTTTAGATGTCGGCGGGTGTGAACTAACACATGTCTGTTTACACCTGCCACTCCATAGAGGAGAAAAGAGGTTCCAATTGGGTCCTCCTGAAAAACGGGCAGGCAGAATATCCATGTGAAAGGGGCCTAACTATGTGTAATGTATGTAATATACACTTCCTGTACTAAGTGATGTGACTGTTTTATCTCCCTGCTTTGCAGGAGAAAAAAACAGCCACATTGTTGATTTCCATAGAGAGCCCTGTGTTGTTAGTAGTTAGGGCTCTCTACTGTCATGAAAGGGACATATGAATTGATAAAATTTATCCCTTGAACTAATAAAGAGCCATTTAGGATAATGAATTTTACCCTAGGGTTATGCTTGGAATATGTGACCTAAATTGTGATACAAAAGGATGATCATATCTTCATGACCTTTTATTGCTGATGAAAGGAAAACCCCTCTTTAAATGAAATGGAAGAATTTGGGCATAAATCAATGGGTTCTCTAGAGGTAACAGTTCACTGTATAATGCTTTCCATAATAAATGAATACTTGTTTTCCTCTATGGGGGAATTGAAAGCATGCTCATTATGCAGTAAAATTCTACACATAATATTATAATAGCAGATATCTGCTTAAACTAAGCCTTTTACATATTGGATTTAAGGACAGGAACAATGTTCTAGGAAGTGTTCTAGGGAGATCTGATACCAGATAACATCAGATAGATATCAGATAGCATAACTTTAAATAACTATACAACACCAATGAACTGAGAAAGAACATGTTAACTTAACCATTAAGGTGGACAAAAAACTAATGAGGTCATCAAGCTTTTCCACATCCATGCAACATATAAAATAAAAATCACATGCAAAATGTCACTCAGTTATGATTTACGGTTATTTTATTTGTAAAATATTTGGTGACTCCTAGCAGTGTACAATGTGAACTGTATATACCTAGCAAAAAATAAAAACAAACTTTTCTTAAAAATGAAAAATTACTGCAGCTTGACATCTCATTTATGTTTGGCTGTTTTGGAAAAAAACAGGATTTTTGTATTCACCATAAAATCAATTTTATGAGAACCCTGAGGGATAGGGTTTTATGGATATATACTGCCACCTATAGGGGAAGGCCAGCCCCCTAGTGGCTATAACCCCCTCCCACCTTATACCTTCTCAAATGTAGCAAGCGGTCCAAAGAGGAAAAAGCTAGCGTATAAGTGGAGGGTACTATGTGCAGTTGACTCAGAAAGAATAATTTTACAGAACAAAAAAATGTATTTTTTCTGTTGATGGACATAGCTTTATGGATAATAAGCAACCAAGGGATGTCCAAGAACAGTCCAAACAGAGGGGCAGGCACACCAAAAGCACATAGATGAACCAGCCCCCCCCCCCCCCCAAAAAAAAAAAAACAAAAAAAAACAAATAGGAAAACATTTTATAGATTCTTGCAAAATTGTTCAGCCATGCAGAGGCAGAATAATGTGTGAATAGAAGGCCTGGTGGCAGCCTTACAGATATCAGACATACTGTAGGTCTGATTATTAAAAGTCTAATATGAAGACTTTTAAGACCACATTGGGAAAAAAAGGAGGACCTTGGTCACAAAACAACTTTGTATTTTTACAAAATCAACTTGGAGATTCTTCTAATGGAAGTGTTGGCCACAAAAAAAGGCTACTGTATGGTGTACCGATATCAAAGACGTGTCTCTTATCAAAAGAGGGTCTCTGCAGTGCTGAAAACACAAGATGTAAATCTCACAGTTTGAGTTGAAAAGAAGAAGCAACGTATGAAACCCATTGATTGAAAGTACAAATAAATGCTTTATGTGCAAGTGGACATTGAAAAAGAACAGACAGGGGAGACACCTGAGCCTTGATGACACTAAGGGTTAAACATTGTTTTGCCCCTAACTGGGAAAAAAAGAAGGCCCACTGAAAAGGCATGTAGGGAAACCCCCAAAGCCTCAAATCAGTGAAATAAATCTTCCACATTAGATTAAAAATACAACAAGAAGTATATTTATGAGCTGTAAGCATGGTCAGAATAAAGGGGTTCATAATGCCCTGTCTCAGCCAAACCATAAGCTACCATTCTTGGGAAGGCTGGAAGGATGGAAGGCTGACTCTTGTGATAACAGATCTAGCATAAAAGCCACAGAGCTGTGGCTACAAGATGAATGAGATCTGCATTCCACACTCTGAGGTCAAATTGGAGCTATCAGAATGGAAGCCCTCTCTTTTGATCCTTCAAAGTAGATGAGGTAGAAGCTTCAGGGGAGGAAAGTCAAGAGTAAGGTTGGCCATACATTATACAATTTTCTTGAGATTTTTGCTTTAGATTTACCAAAAACCATATAATAGGAGGTCAAACCCAAACAACACTTTCAGTTGATTCCAATTGGGCAAGCCCTTGCACTACACAGTTGAAGGTAAATCTAATGGGAAATTGGGCAGAAAATTGTAAGAAAATTGTATAGTGTATGGCCAGCCTTAGGCATACTGATCCCAAGACACTACCAGCACAACTACACCTGCTGTCAGGTCCTGGGTTCTGGAGACAAACTTGTCAAGTGTCACAGTGAACTGAGGTGCTACTAAATCCAAATATTATGTCCCCTAATGATGACATATAACTGGGAACACCTAATGAAGAGACCATTACCCCAGATACAGACATTGTCTGCTGAGAAAATCTGCCTGCCTTTTCTTCACTCCACTCCACTCACTGCAGAGATCACTGTAACATGAAGCTTTGTGCAAGAACAGGATAGAACCTACCTCTGTTGCTACTGAAACACTCCTGATGCCCCTTTGATGATTAATGAAAGCAAATTATAGCATTGTCCAACTAAAAGAAATGGGGCCCAGTGGAGTAATAAGATATTAATCACTTGAAACTCAAACTGTTTTATATTCTACATGAGCATTTTTTCAATGACAGCATTGATTATATCTAGAAATAAACCACCAAATAATTATGCGCTTGGTGCTAGGGGTAATGTTGCACACTATGTTCCGGGCAGAAAAAAAACAGCATTGTTTGTACTGTTTGAATTTGAAAATTCCAACCTTCAATGCTGCTTGAGAGGCTTAACCTATTCTCTCTCTCTACACCTCTTCCCTGGGTCAGTTGATAACCTCTCACAGCTTTCAATACCACCTCTGACAACACCCAGATCCATCTCTCCACTCCCCAGCTTACCCCTCAATATCTTCACATATCGCAAATTTACTGAGTGACATATCAGTATGGATGTCACACCATTTCCTCATACTCAATCAATCTAAAACTGAACTTGTAACATTTCCTACTCCCCAATTCCCCCCCACCCATGACTTTACCTTTGAGATCAATAGCACAATTGTTGGTCCATCCACGCACATCAGAGTGCTAGGTGTAATCCTAGACTATAACCTACTGCCAACATTTCCAGAATTCCCCCCCTCTTAACTAGAAGTTCCACAAAACAACTCATTTCACTCCCTTGCAACTCCTTGCTCACTGGCCTACCTTTAAACAGGTTATCCCCCTTTCAGTCTTTCATGAATGGTACTGGTAGACTTATACACCTTACTAACCTATCTGTAGCTCTGTCAATCCCTTCACTGGCTTCCACTAGCCCAACGTACTGTATAAAATTCAAAATACTAACCACAACATACAAATTCATACACAGCCCTGCCACCAGCTACATCGCCAACCTCATCTGGAGATATTGCTCAAATTGTTCACTCCTCCCATCTTTCTCTCTAGCTCCTATGTTACCTCCTCCTATGCTTGCCTCCAGGGCACCCCCCGGATCTCTCCAATTCTCTGGAACTCCCTATCCCAGTATGGCCAGTTAGCTCATATCTTGTCCATCGTAAGGTGATCTGTG